GGTAGGGGTAAGAGATGAATGAGAAATAGGAGCAGTTTAAACAAAGATACTAAATTTCAAATTGAGAATTTCAAAAGAAGAGGTCAGAAGGGACCACTGACAGAAAGTTAGAAAATGGAGACACCTGAAAGGAGAAAGAGATTATGTGGTTTTTTACCAGTTCTCTTGGACATTCTGGGGAACTGCTGGAAAAAGCACTGCTCACCCTCTGCTACAAAAGGAAAAGACAAAAACAAATAATGACATAATGTTTTCAGCTAAATGAAGCAAGGATTTGGGAAAGCCACTAAATACAGCAATGGAGAAATTAGGGCCTATGATCATGAGGACGTGTACCAAGAGGGTGATACTAGCTGATACATGAGACAGCTCAAAAATATGATCTGCAAAAGATAATATTAGAAATAGGGAGTGTAAGGAGGAAAGCAGTTTGCCAGAAGGTTGGGCCAAAAATCCTAACATTACCATTAGAATTGTCAGGATATCAATGAATATAAAATGGATGAATAAAAGGTGGAAGGGGAAAGAAATAGTCTTTTGAATAGTGAAGTATCATATTGCATCATTTATACAGGTTAGAAATAGGAGGCACCAGTGCCTCTAGAAGAAAAGCAGCGCTTTCATTAGGTTGTCTCCTTGTATGCATGGTACAGAGCACATCTCTCAAGAGAAGTGGCTGACTGCAGATGAGAAATCCAACAACTAGTTACCACATGTCGAAGGAGTTCTTCTAAGAGCGAGTGTTTTGTAAGAACTTCTCCAGAGCAAGAACTTCTCTTTCAGCCTTGCTACTGAGCAGGGACCAGGAGAGCTGAGACATCTTAATGCCCTCCTCAGCAATCCTGGGTCCCACAGTCTTCAAGCAATAAACCATGAATTATTTCATTTGGCATTTGGGGTGAGGTTGCACTATCCCATCAGACCAAACTTTCTCAGACAGATGAGTCACTACCTTGGTGATTACAGCCAAGTGCTGGCACAGCACATAGAGCAATGCAAGCGTGGAAGGGCAGGAGGATGCAAACCAGCTCTGGAACTCTCCTCCCCAGTGACACAGCCACTACCTGTGGGCAGGCTGACAACTCACGTGGACTGTAGCTACCTGTGTGTTGATGGGAGTGACCTGTTCCCCTTGGTGCTATTCATGCACAAGGCTGGAATGTTGTGGCAGAGGTAGCATGACATGAAAGCTTAGGAATAATGTGACTTTCAGCTGAAATATTGTAAAACACAGAAAGCCATTTTAAAAATTGTTAAAAACATGAGACATTCTCACTCAACAGATTTGGTAATTCAGTGTGCTATTTGCTCACTTTACTGGTAGCACTAATTTGCAGTTTACACTTTTCCATTCTGCTCAAAGAACAGAGGTGACACAGCTATAAGTTGACAAGACACTACTGGCTTCCCCACTCTGCCTTAACCCAGAGGTTGTATGGTTTGAACTAGACCAATGCAGTTAAACAGATACATTTGAAAGGAGAAAATTCAGCTCAAACAGAGTAACTGAGCTACCAAGAAAGGAAATGAGCTACACCTGAATTCCCATTTCTGTAAACCAATGATGTGCTGTGCAGTGGTATCAGGAAAAGGGAATCACGTGTCTATACCACACTGCTTTACCAGCATAAAGGCTGTGTGTAAAATCAGGCTGTCAGACACCAAGTTTGTATATTTTCATCTGTTGCAAAGATTCTTTTTTCTGTTGTTAAAGCATGTATTGACAGAAATATGCTGTCACTCATCCCACTGCAAAAATTTCAGTTCGATTTGTTAGCTTATTAATTAACCAGGCTTTGTTCTGATTTTCAAGGAAGGGTCCCCCCAAAACAGACATATTAAAACATTTAGATACAAATACTGACTTCCTTGCATAAATATAAAACTATTCTGTGGCCACAGCAGCATTCAATTCTCAATGAGAACTTGGCAAACCCTTCATTTAACAAATGCCTCCCAAAAATAGGAAGCACCAGCTTTTATTGATATTAAAGGAATAAAATAACATGGAAAAACTGTCATTACATTCCATGGGTGCCCAGTCACCACACATTTCAGGTAAGTCTTGAGTAGACCAATATTATTCTATCACTACAATAAACACAACCACCAAAAAAACTTGGAGGTATTTTACTAATATTCTCATGTTACATTTTAACTTAAGTTTACAAAAATATTGCACATAAAAATTAAAATCACTTAATACTCTGTGTGTTTGAGAGTATTATTCTCAAGATTTGTATAATAATGTGAAACCATTGACTTATTTACTCCCATGATTGCTTAGCTATCAAAATGTCACAAATCTTGGATATACAAGCACACATGGATTGCTCTCCTGTAGATCCCTGACTGCCTCCTCTCTTCCATGTTTGCCTAAGGGTGCAAAAATTGTTATTTCCTTTTACCATTAGGGGAGAGCAATCTTCCTTTTGGTAACAGTTTTAAAAGTAGATTTTATAGACCTGAAAGGTTTCCAGAACTGCCCATACAGTAACAAACACACACAAAAAAAATCAGAGTGTAATATTTCTAACAGTTTTCAAAAACCATGCATTTTTGAAGAGCATATTTATTTTACATATTGCTTACCTCAAGAATGAATCTGAGGATGTTTTTTATTATATCAAACATACTTTCAAAATATTTTTTCTATTTTGGCCTTGTCTAGACATCAGTTATATTTTTAAAACTTCATATTTTCAGTTCCCTCTTCTAGAAGTCACTTTTGGGTTACTGAAAGCAGCCTCACTGACTTGATACTGAAGAACAAAATCACTATCTAACCATAACATGAGGCAGAAAAGCTACAGAGAAAAAGCACCTTATTTTCCATACTAATATTAAAGTATTAGAGCAAACAACAGCCTTAGTTACCTGCCTTATGTAGAAAAGGTTCTTCATTTTAAATATGATGCTATCTAAAGCTATATTCTTCCTCTCCCTCCAAGAGATACCACCCCAAGATTTAAAAAAACCAGTGTCCTGGTGGTTTACCCAGACAATGTAAAGAGATCTCCAGCTCAAACTGTGTGCACAGGCTGAACTGACAAACATTTACACAGCGCCCTGCTTCCTTTTCCACTGTTTGTGCTTCGGATCTGGGAGTCTGCATCTCCCCATGACAAACACCTGAAAAAGTAACAACTTCAGAATGGATTCCATTTTCACTCACTATAAATGTGACCAAAATCCAAGCGAGGAGAAATATTTGGGCTCCTAAATAACTTTGAAAGCTATAGTGTTAGAATTTGAAGTGTCTGACTTACAGAACCAATTTCAGTGAGTGCATTTTAGTTTGGTTTCTCAGAATGAACTAGGAGGCTAGGAAAAAGTCATAAATTCTCTAAAGATACAGGATTTTGACAGGCTGTATGTTTTTTAAAGCAAGTTTCACAATTCACCTTCAAAGTCCAGGCCAAATTAGTAAATCCTTCCTGTTGCTTTCATGAGGGAGAATGAAAACACTCAGTAATTCACTTCCTTCCATTCCAGCTAACAATGTTATTTCCCATCTGCTGATTTTACAAGCCTCTTCTTGCACAAGTTACACTTCTTGTAGAGTGCACCCTTGTTTAACCAAGATTTGCTGCTTACATACATGAGTCTTCCTCATTCAGATCCAACACTTTCACACTCTGAATTTTCTCAGAAGGAAACAGAGACATTCTTTATCTGGAACCCAGACCAGTGAGGGCCACATGGAGTCAAATTATAACAAATTATACATTTATTATATGGATAAGAGAAACTTTTCCCTAAACCTGCCTTTAGCAAGAAAAGCTGTTGCAAAGAATCTATTTTAAATTGAAAGATTACTATAGGAAAATTATCTACAGATGTCTGTGGGATTTAGATGAACTTCAAATAAGCTTAAGTACTTTTCATAAGCTTGTTCTAAAGTATTTAAGCAAGAAGAATGTGACACAGATTGTTAATTGAAAAGATTTTGCATCTGTTTTAAAATAATAAATACCTAGAAGAGATAATTCAGAGGAATATGTTTTTCACCAGTTCTATAAATCTCCATGTAGGACTTTATTTATTGGGATTTCAACAGAAATTTCTTAATTAATCAGAATATTCTTTGGATGGAATTCACATAATATATTTCACAATAAGATACCAGAAGTTTGTGGGGTTTTTTTGGAAGGGGTTCTAGTAAAATGTTCTTACAGCCAAAAGCTTTTTCTCACCAACCCTAGTATTTTCACTGTCTTGCAACAATCTGATACATTTTCTGAAATGATTTCACAATAATGAAAATGGATAAACTGTCCTACACCAGAAAAAAACCCCAGTAAACAAAGCTATAGCCAAACTATTTATTTAAAACTGAAGATTCGCATATGCATGAGATTTTTTTCTCATGGTTTAATTTTAGGCAGCATAATAGATTTTTTTTATTACACAGGCTTCCTAAAGGGCCTCTAAATTAGAAAAAATATTCCTCTAAATTAGAAAAAATATTATCTCAAAATTTTGAAAAAAAAAATAAATTTATAGATATTGAAAAGATTTAAAACAGGTTTTGAAAAAAGCCAGAAGGTCATATACACTGTGGGTTTTGGCTCTGATATGATTACCTTGCTTGAAATGCATACTCAAAGACATGTAAATGTACTGTTATTTACACAACTTCACACTGCAATCATGCAAACAGCACCCTTGTTAATGGGACTTATAGTGATAAACCACATTAGTGCATTGAATCCTACAGCAAAGCCTCCAAGTACTGAAAACAAGAGCTCAGTGAGGTTTTTACTCCAAATACTGGGGTTTTATTTCTGAATTTCCTGTGGAAATACACGGAGTTTCACAAAAAAAAAAAAACTACATCAAATCTATGCACCAAAAAGGCTGCAAAGGAGAGAATGACCTTCCTTTTTGAAGTAAAGGTTTGTTTGTCTTTTGACTCTTGGATAAATGATTATGCCATTTGAGTGTATCCACACTTGAGCAGTTTTAAGAAAACAAAACAACACATTCAAAGCTGTGGTAACTTTCTGCTGTTCATCATCTGCTGCAAAAGCAAAGATGGCCAAAATTCCTGATAAGGGGCCAAGAATATTTCTTTTTAAAATGCCTTACTTCTCAGAATTTAAACATGTATTTTCCATGTTATTCAATTTTGTGTTTATGTATCAAAAGCACCAAAGTGATAAATATTTACTACTCCACTGTCAAAACTCTGAAAACACCAGTGAAATTATTGATGTCTAGAAGTGCTAGTCTCTTTTTGAAGAAAGAATTCCAAGTGGTCAACAGTTTATCCTGAGTGCATCAAACTGCTGAAAGAATTTCTTTTGCCTCCATTGTACTTATTACAGTTAGCATTTTAAGGGTTCAGCTCATTCCCTCTCTCCACCTCAAACATATGTTATTTGCTCCTGATTTTGTGGAAAATTTCAGTTCACAGCCCTTTTTTCATTGTTTTGTTATGTTCATCTAGGCACCTGAGCAAAACATACCAGAGAACATTTCAGCAATGCTTGTTTTTAAACTATCTTTGATTATATAATTTTTTTTTCCAATTACATGCTTTCCCACTTTGCTAAAATATTTATTCACATGCTACATGTTGAATAAAATCCTCCAAGTCAGCTAGGGAATCATAAAGAGAATCATCTGTGTCCTGACTTCTGAGAAACTTTCGAAGAGTATCTAAAGCACTCAAAGCCTCATTTTTGGATGGTAAAAGCTGTTCAGCTCCCTGTAGTTGACTGCCTTCATCCTTATCTTCATCACCAACAAATGTCTCAGCTTTATCTGATGCACTTTCTTTGGCACACATCCTTTCACTATTTGTAGGCACTTCATAAGTTACCAAGCCATCATCTATAGCTGCATATTCTTCCAGAGACAAGCCTTCTGGAAACTCTACCCCAGCTGCCCGTGCATGTGCAATCAAATCAAAATCACTTTCAACTTCATTGTCATTTTCATTTGTCTCAGTTTCTAATTTGAAAGTTGCTCCATTGCAACTTTTTGCAATAGTCTCTGGTGTTACTTCCCTCCAGCACAGGTACAGCATCTCAATTGCATCAAGAAGGGTCAGCATAAACTCTTTATTACTTTCTACGCAGTCAACAAATCTCTTGATAAGACAGCGCCTGTATTTTACCTTCAGAGTTTTGATAATCCTTTCTTTCATAGCTATACATGAAGAAGAGTCTGGAGGAAAGAACACTAATTTGACAGACTTCAGGTTCTTTACTTCTGTGTGAGCTGGGAGAAAATCAACAAGAAAAACCACTTGGCGCTGCTGTGCTTGAAATCCGTGATCCAGTTTGTGCATCCACTGTTCAAAGATTCCTGAAGTCATGCACGCCCTATCATTTGCTTCATAATCCACTGGCAGCGATTTCACATCTTTGAAAGAGTGTGCACTTTTGCTTTTTCCTATAATGAGCAGTGGGAGTTTCTCAGAGCCATCCATATTTGTACCCACCACTACAGTCACGCTCTCTTTGCTTTCTTTGCTTACAGAAAAAGTTTCCCCTTTAAATGTAAACGTGTTATGTGGTAACATCTGATACAACAACCCAGTCTCCTGTATGTAAAACACATTTTTTGGCTGATAATCATTTAAATTACAAGGAAGCACATTTTGGTACCAAGGAGTTGGAGCACCCACTGCAGGAGAGGCAGCTGCTTCTACAGGCTGAGCTCTGAAAACTAAACCGTACCTCGACTTGAAACGATCGAGCCAGCCATTGCTGCATTTAAAATCACTGTGTCCAAGCTTCTGGGCAAAATCATTCGCCTTGAGGCGCAACATGGGGCCATTGACCGGCACATTCAAGCACTGTGCAATTCTGTACCACTTCATCAATGCATCCTCCAGGTCGGCATAAAAAGCAGTCCTCAGTCTTTTCCTTTTAGGATCAAACCGCAAAGTTTCAAAGGCTTCCAAAACTTTTTCCTTATTCTTCATAATCGAAGACAGGGAGTTCCTCTTGATGCCATACTTGGCTGCAATGTCCGCCTTTTTCTTGCCGCTTTCCACAGCGCTTATGATGTCGATTTTCTCCTCGATAGTTATGCTTTTCTTCCTCCTCACTGTGGCTTCGGGCAGAGCCTCTGCCATGGCACCGAGCAGCGTCTCCCGGGCGCGCTCATCCGCGCCCACAGCCGGCCAGGCTCCTTCCCTGCCGCTCCGGCCGCTTTCCCAGCCGGCGGTCCCACCTCAGGGGCTCGGCCCTCGGCGGGGCTGGAGCAGCCTCCCGGGCGGTGCCGGCGGTGGTTGCCATGGCTGCGACCATAGATATGACGGCCTAGAGAGGCCGCCGCCGTCATCTCTTTCCGGCCCGGCGCTTCCGGCTCCTGCTGCCACCGGAGAAGGAAGAAAATAAAGCTTGAGAGGGGCCGCCGGCGCCGCCCCGCCCGGCCTCCTCCGTCCCCCCTTCCCTCCTTCCGTCCTGCCCTGTCGTCCCCCGCAGCACGAAGCCCCCGGGGCCGCAGCGGCGCCGCCGGCAGGTGAGGGACGGACCGGGCCGGGCTGGGGCAGCCTCTGGGCCCGGGTTCGGGGAGGGCCGGGCCGCGCCTCCCGCTCCGTCCCGTCCGACGTGTCACCTCGCGGGGGCGGCCGCCCTTCGCCGGGCTCCGGGCCGCCCTTGCCCGGGCACCGGCAGCGCCCGGCGGGTCGGGGTCGGCCCGGCTTGTACGGCCCGGTCCGGGCATGCTGGGCGGCAGGACAGGGAGAGCAGCGCCCTGCTCGGGAGCAGGCGGGTTCCCCGAGAGAGAGAGGGAAGCTGTGTGTTGGTGGAGGAAGAAAGCTGTAGATGCTGTGTAAATTTTGTGCCCCTGGGAGTTATTCCACACCCTGGCAATTACTGCTTTAAGTGTGCCAATTTGTGTTTTGCTTACTGTTCTTAAAGCATGGAAGAGCTTTGGTGTTGTGCGACAAGCAGGTGTTGCATGTGTAATTGTCTCCAAAGGAGTGGCAGTTCTTCCAGAATTTCTTATGGTACCGCTCTAATAGGTTATTTTTAGCCAAAAGCCACTAATAGCCTTTAATTGCATGAAAGTCTTTGGAGGGGATCATTCTGAACATCCAGCCCAGGATGCAGTTTCTGTTTCTCATGTGTGCTTTCTGTGCTTGATGGAAAAGGTAGTAAGGAGTTATCACTTTGCAGTTGGCGGCTCTGTTACTTAAGAGTTGATTCTCTAGAGAAGATAACAGAAGGGTTGTTTTTGCAGGGCTGGAGAAGGATGTCATTTGATCAGTGCAACTCCAAAACTTTCTGAATCCTGTTTATGTTTATGTATGTATGTGCATGTGTACTCACACAGTTAAAATGTCAAGAATAAGAAACACAGAAGAGTGTTAGATTGGCAGAACTGGAAGCTGAGGCAGTAGCTTGATCAGCTGTTTTTTTCTGATTTGGTAGAAGTTGAAACCATAATGGCAGCCCATGGCTCTGCTAATCTGGAGATGAGCAGAGCATTAAATTGTTTAGGGCCAGGTTGACATAGCATGGAGAGTGTGAAAAGTCAGCAGCAACCCTGTTCTCCAGTCTTCTTCTCCATCATGTCTTCTAACTCCCCATAATTAGATCTTGCAGGTGGAGCAGCCAGGAAATTCAAGAGCATTTAGAAGAAACTATGGTGAGATTGCAGCAGGAAGTGTTTAATACAGTTCTTTATAGTACTTTTTTTTTTTAAAGGTAGTACTTTTATAGTATAGCATTTTTTTTAAAGATGGTTGATCTCTATCTTGACAAGAATTAGTGAAAGTGTTCTTAGTTAGAAATTGAAATAGTCATTAAAATGGTCATTTTCCTACCAGCACTGGGATATTCTTCAGTGTTACAAAAATTTACATTCTTTATGCAGTTAAGTAATGAGACAACAATAGAAGTGTGTAATAAACTTCATTTTAGACAGAAGGTGTCTTGCTGTTGTCTTATTGGCAGTTAATTTAGGAGAAAAGTAAGTGAAGGAACCAGTGAATCTTTCTTAGAAAAGCCAATCTGATTGTTGAGAATACCACGGTTCTCATTTCTGAGACCATCAATCATTTACCTAAGTGATATAGGTATGTGAGGAATATACTTTATTCAAAATTAATTTATTGTTGATGACATTTACTTCATATTTTCATGAATAAGCAAATATGAATTTGCCTTTTTAATGAAAAGTACATAAGTATGCTCTTATAACCATTAATTATAAATGGTTAAATGTCTCTTTATGTCTCCATCCTAGAGGAAGCTTCCCATGTTGTTTGTAAGTTCTTGTTTTGTTTTGCTTTTTATTTTACCAGTTGAAGAAGTGATACTTAAATCCCCAGGACTCGAAAATCATGTGGTTTTGTTTATGATGAACAAACCTTGAAATAATCCAATATGCATTTAAAGTAGCTGCACTATGAGGGGAATGACTCTTAGTCTGATCTGTGTCTTGTGTTCTGCTGTGGTGCAGTATTTGTGTTTGGGATTATCCCCACTGGGATAGTGGGGTAAAGGAGAACCCAGAAGGGCAGGAGTGATGTGGACAGGGTTTTGGTTCTTGTGGAACCGAATATGGATCAACCATGTTTTTTCCAAGTAGAATCTCTTTGAGTTGTTCTATTGCAGCAGATGGGAGCAAATTTCCTGGTACAGCAGTCACCTAATGTGTTCTAAAGTTGTGGCTGCTTTAGTGAAGAAACAAACCAAGCCCTGGATAACACAATCCATGCTGTTCTGGGGATTAGCAGCTTCTTACAAAGAACAGCCCTTTGTCTGGCACCTGCAAGAACTACAGAGATGCTAAAGTCTGTGTGCATTTCTGTAGTGGAACTTTAAATGATAGATGTGTGTAGATGTTGTGATTACCACAATTTCACATGAGTGTCTTCATTTCTGAATCTTGGTGAAGATGTAGAAAGTTTTCATCCTTGCATCCAGTATTTGATGCTTACATCCCCATTTCTTTTCTGTAGAAGCAGTAATCAGGAAATTCTGTAGTTAAATTTGAATGTGCAGTTGAACTTTTTATGAAAGCCACCTTTAATCTACATTTTTTCACCTTCTCATCTTGTAAAATTGATCACTGTGATCCTGCAGAGCTGTGTTGAAACTGTTAGCACTACTTGTAGGAAAAGAACAGTACAAAAAATTGAGCATGGAGGGGTGTTCTAACATAAATCCTGAATTCATTTGGGTTTAAAAAAATTAATCATTTGCTTTTATGCAGTGTCTTTTACATTGATTTGTGAGATGGTTCTTGTCTCTAGGTTCTTAAATCTATCAAAAGTTCTTAAATCAATCAAAAATGTTTTTGCCTGTAGCATTTAATAGTTTAGAACAGTGTTACTGTGGTACATAGGCTTGTATGTGATGGACAAATATGACTCCAGGAACACTGATGTGGTAGAACTGAAGAACAGATTGTCTTAAAGAAGGCTCTACCACAAGATGAATTTAGCTTTTTGTTTAACAAGTAGAGCAAGGAAATAACACTTATTGTCTTATTCTATCATGTAATTGCTTTAGCTACTCAGAAATAAGCTGTTAAGCACAGAGGTTGTTTTCAGCCACAAGCAGAGTTTGAACAGGACCATGTGGGCAAACAGCATCTCTGCTGTACAGTCTTCCATGTTCAAAAGAAATTTGAAAAATTAAGGAAGCTATTTAAGGATGTTAAACTTATTTCTTAATTACTTCAAAGGGAGCTTTACTCTGATCCTTGAAAAATCCAACTTCATTCAGTGGTAGCCCTGAATTAACTGTTTTTCTGCAGAAAATCTCTTATTTTATATATTTGGTTTTCCAAAATAAAGTGATAGGTTATCCAGTGCAATATGATCTAGATGATCTAGGTGATTCAGTTTCTCAGCCTTTGTATCCTTATTTTATTTCCCTTGCTATGTGAGCTGCTTACCTTATTAATTATTTGCTTTAGTTAGAATGTTTTGTAGTTCTGGAATTTGAAATACAATATAAACACAAATAGTAATCTCTTTATAAATTTTCTTCATCTGGTATGTGTCTGAACATGTATGAAATGGTGCAAGACTTAATGAACTGAAGTCATGTGTGATTGTATGCAATACTGGCAGATTAATTAATTTTTAATGATTGGTTGTCTCCTCCTCTCAAACAGCTGAGTGAATTGTGGTGTCACCTGTAGTTACCAGCTATTTGGAAACAAATTGAGATAATTTCCTTACTTAAGATAAAATTGTGTATGTAATTCATCTTGCATGATCACTATATTCACAGAGTTGATTTCTTTCTCATGTGCTTAGTGTTAACAACTTTCATTGCTTCTGCAGCTGAGATCTTTTTGAGGCTAAAATGAAAGGGATTCTGTTCTAGTAAACACAACAGATTTAACAGCTTAATAAGTTTCAGTGGCTTAGCATTAATGTAATCTTGCAATGTTTGGATAAATCTTACGCCTTAACAAAATGGTGATCTTTGCAGTGGTAGGATACAGTCAGTGTACTGTTGCAAGTGGCAGGATATATGTCACCTGAAGAACCTTGTTTGACTTCCAGGGTTTTATGTTGCAAGCTTAGTTGTCTGTGGGGAAAGGTTGCTTTGGCAGTGGAAGCTTACACTAAACTGTATTCCTAATCCCGCTTAGGTTTTTGGAGAGCTGAAGGCCTGGTCACTATCAAAAGAAGGAGGTTTCACTTTGCTTTAGCAGAACTTGTAAAAGAAATGTTTTCTGAACGCCTGCTTTGGTTTCTGTGAGGTGCAACATCCAGCTCCTTTCACTTCAATTAATGCATGCCAAACCTGTTTGGTTTTCAGGTATGTCAGAACACAGCAGTGAATCCACAACACTTGATGAGTCTCATCCATCTGCAGAAGAGATCCAGTCTGGCTGTGAGGTGATTGAGTGATAGTTATATTAGTGTAAAATCAACCAATCCTAACAAGTTTCAGATTCCCAAAAATTCTGCTTTACATAGTACAGTGTTGTTAGTATGGGGATATAAGTTCATGCACAGCATCTTGAATGGGTGGGGTTGGTTTTGAGATCCCATTAGGAACAGTCCAATTAATTCATAGCAAGGGATTACTTCAGCCACAACGTAGCCTGTTGCTGTGCTGCAGTATTTGTTTTGTAAATTTAATAGATTTAGGCATGGTA